CCTCTAATAGCTCCCTCACAGAAAGTTATTACATGTAATGGTTATGAATACACTGCGTGATGTCTAAGACACTGTTTTAGGATAGTTTTGTGAAGGTTTTGGCCTAAAATATATGAGTACTAAATATATAGGTACACACAGGACAATGTAAGGTGAAATAGTCCCCAAAGAAAACTTTAAAAATTGCTTTTTCATTTTTTTTTCTATTTCAAATTACTTATAAACTTACAAGAACCCAGAAGATGTGTGTAGCTTCACTGGTCATTTAGGATAGTAAATAAAATGTCTATATTTGTGTAATAGACATTGTGACCCCTGGTTCCTATCACCACCACTGTACATCAGAGTCAGTTAGTTTCTCTACAATGAACCATTTCACATCAAACCACTCTGACTGACTCCGTTTACATATCATTGATTGAATTATGCAGAAATGTATTAAAAATGGTGGAATTTCCCTTCAACTTCACACAGATGCAGTAATAGAGTCTCAAGGCCTGAGCCAAAAGACGTCTCTCCTGAACGCTGAGATGCAGGGCTGTTTTGTTTTCAAGCATGCAACTGCAAAATTAAATCAGCACATGACCAAGAGTAACCTCTGCCTAGAAGCACTGTTTTCCTGACTTGTTTACTTTACTGAGCATGTTATATATATATTGTAGCTATTATATCAAAACCTCATAAATCAAATATTTCCCTTTTTTGCCGTCTGAAAACACCATCCTTGACATTATGTGAACATTTCATACAACATTACTTCACTCCATAACAAGCCATAGGCCCACCAGCAGGCCCAAAGTTTTATTACACACTTCTATAACCTAAGAAAAGCTCAATTAGTTTGGACTGAAGACCCTGTAGTTATTGAATAATAAGCCTTTGTATGAAATAAACCTGAAATGTTAAAGGGTTAATGTACATTACCGCAGTTATTATACATTAACATATGTTAGAGTTAGCATATACAAGGTTTTGTCCAAAAAAATTGGGACGCTGTGCGTCCCAAATGTAAATAAAAACAAAATGCAATGATGTGCAAATCATTTATCCTTTGAATTTAAATTAAAATATTTAAAATACTACAAAGACAACATATCAAATGTTGAAACTGAGAAATTTTATTGTTTTTTGAAGAATATATGCCCTTTTTGAATTTGATGCCAACAACACGTTCCAAAAAGGTTGGGACAGGGGCATGTTTACCACTGTGCTTCATCACCTCTTCTTTTAACATCACTCTGTAAACGTTTGGGAACTGAGGAGACGCTGCTGTAGTTTTGAAAGTGAAATGTTTTCCCGTTCTTGATTGATATAGGATTTCAGCTGCTCATTAGTTCAGGGTCTCCTTTGTCATACTGTTCATTTCATAATGCGCCAAATGTTCAGTTCAGTTCAGTGGTGACAAATCTGGACTCCAAGCAGGTCAGTTTAGCACCCAGACTCTTTTAATACGAAGCAATGCTGTTATAATACATGCAGAATGTGGTGATTTAAATGATTTGCACATCATTGCATTTTGTTTTTATTCACATTTTGCACAGCGTCCCGTCTTTTTTGGAAATGGGGTTGTACACTGTTTCTTCTATCCTAGTCAATCTCAACACAGTCCATTATAGAGAACAGATAACTGAGGTGATAAAAAGTGCAGTGGCATCATATTTTGCATAACCAGATGTCAACAGAACCATTTGGTACAATAAAATACATGCATAGAGAACCATTTACAGCTATTTACCCCAAGAAGCAGGTTCAACCTCATGTTCAAGGGTTAACAGAAGTTTGTAGACACCTTCTCTTCTAACATTTCTTCTGGAATCAATGGCATTAATAAAGAGTCTGTCCCCCTTTGCTGGATTAACAGCCTCTACTTATCTGGAAAGGCTTTACACTAAAAGTTGGTACATTGCTGTGAGGATCTGAATGCATTCAGCCAGAAGAGCATTAGTGAGGTCAGGTACTGATGCTGGATGATCAGTTCTGGATCACTCCAACTCATCCCAAAGGTACTGGATGGAGCTCCATCAGCGCAGAGAACACAGTTCCACTGCTCCACAGCCCAAAGCTGGGGGGCTTTATACCCCTCTAGGTGATGTTTGGCATTGGGCATGGTGACCTTAGGCTCACGTGTGGCTGTTTCAGAGCATCACATTCTATTGCCAATACTTTTCTATGGACATTATACAAGCTTTAGACGCGCACTCCTGTGTCAGGGATGGGTGCACCTTAAAGGGGTCACTCCAGCGCAGAACTAGCATTTAATGTTATTTGTCATACTATGTAATATTCTGTAGCGCAGCACTGAATCTCTCAGCCTCACCGATTTGATGCACGATTTTGTGTTCTTTTTGTGTTTTCGTCCATTAATGTTGTCTCACTACAATACCCAGCATGCATCACGCAACTACAAAGCCCTTCTACGGCGATAAATAATTCAGACGTCATATTCAACATCCTAGCAGTACCGTTAGCTGCATGCATTAGCCAGTTAATGGAAAAAGACTTGAAAGCGCAAAGCCTCAAGTATCTGAGGACTGTAGCTTTTCAAAGATTCTTCCCATCTTCAAGATACATCATCAAAAGGGAACTTTCTTAATCTTTAAACTGGAAACTTCAGACTATTGCAGCATTACTGATGGACGCAAATAGGCATGTTTATAACTGATGTAGCAATGTAGCATTTTTAATTGCATTCAAAGCGCCCCTTTAAAGTAGCTAGATACATTTTGGACATATAGGCCCAATCCCATTTCTTATTCTTACCCCTACCCCTTGTTTTCGAGTGTCACCTTGCCCCTTTGGAACTGAGTTACAAGGATTAGAGGTTCAAATCTTCCCCTACGAAATGGGACCCTCAAATAAAAAGGACCTTACTTCATTAACAGCTACTAGTGCTGCTCTGTAGGCGACGCTGCCAGTCTACAGTGATAGCAGAGGAGGGTAAAGTTCAGCAACCTCACTGCTGGGCTTTAGTTACATTTAGGGCATCATATACCTTCAAAGAGGGGGATATGATAATTATTTATTATTGCCCACCCCTAATTCTTCTGTGATATGAAGCTGAAGTCAGCTGCTCGCCAGCTTCTTGTTCAAATTCTCCCGTTCCACCTTAAATGGCACTTCAGTCGTCAGAACTGCTGGATTATTTAAGGTGGAACGGGAAAGTTAGCCAGCTAGCTACCGAGACAATTGCATACTATTAGCGATTTTTCATGCTTGTTATGAGGAAAAGGACCATAATACATAGAAACGACATTAAACTAAGAAAATACTCACACCTGTGGGTTTCTTCAGTTGCCTGCGCAGCCATCTTGCAGGTTTTTCTTTTTTTCTCGTAACACTGTTTGGCGTGTCGCCTCTGAAAAACCTCTGTTTAGAGGGCCATGTAGGCCTAACACTTCGCCCTACCCCTCTATCTCAACAAAAATCGGGACACCCTACCTCTAGGTGTGGACGCACAAAACAGAAGATTAAGGGCTAAGTGGTAGTAGCAAGGGGTGACATGGGACTGGGCCATAGAATATGTGAAATTTTCCACATTCATTTTGGTGAAGCAGCACTATCATACAGCTCAGACATGAGTCAGCAAAACATGGGATTTAACTGCAGGAGGTGATTTCTGTAGTTAGATATACACACGTCAGGTAATACTGAATTACAGGGGACAGAAAATGTAGACTTGATATTTCAAGTTCATCCACTGGAGCTGATACAATGATTTCAGGACTACGATCAGTAAACGTGAGTTGTAGTCTGATGGCATGTGGCGGCCGTGTAATGTTATGGTCATGGCCTGCACTCTTACATAAGGCCACCCAAGCCTGCGTGTGCCCTGACTGCATAACAGAGTAACAGCCGACGATGGAGCAGCTAATGAGCTGCACACAGCACTGTGATTGGGGTTAGTTGGCCATGAGCTGCTTGACTGCAGATGTTGCACAGTGCCGACACCTAATTATCACTTTAATAGTGAAACTGACACACTGGACTAGACAGAGAGACAGACAGACAGAGAGAGCGTGCACAATCACTTATATGTAAACATGTAAGCTTGTGTGCAACATGTATTAATGCGTTTTATTAGTTTCTTCTATATTATTATTATTGCTATTAGAATTAAGCTCTCCTTTCATCATCATTGCAAGAGAGTAAAACAGGCAGAGAGAGAGAGAGAGAGATGGAGAGAGAGACAGACAGGCAGAAAGAGAAACAGAGAGAGAGACAGGCAGCGAGACAGAGACACGCAGAAAGACAGAAAGATACAAGCATAGAGAGAGATAGGCAGAAAGAGAGAAAGACACGGAGACAGAGAAAGAGAGACAGACAGGCAGAAAGAGAAACAGAGAGAGAGAGATAGAGAGCGAGAGAAAGAAAGAGACAGAGAGACAGACAGGCAGACAGAGAAAGAGAGAGAGAGACAGGCAGCGAGACAGAGACATGCAGAAAGACAGAAAGATACAGGCATAGAGAGAGACAGGCAGAAAGAGAAACAGAGAGAGACAGGCAGCGAGACAGAGACATGCAGAAAGACAAAAAGATACAGGCATAGGGAGAGACAGACAAAGAGAGAGAGACGCAGAGAGAGACAGAGAGAGAGAGAGAAAGAGAGAGGCAGAGAGAAAGACAGAAAGAGGCAGAGAGAGAGAGAGAGAGAGAGAGAAGAGAGAGAGAGAGAGAGAGACAGAAAGAAAACAAGATACAGGCATAGAGAGAGACAAGCAGAAAGAGAGACAGGTAAAGAGACAAAGACATGCAGGGATAGAGACAGGCAGAAAGAACGACAGAAAGACATGCAGAGAGAGAGAGACAGGCAGAAAGATTGACAGAAAGACATGCAGAGAGAGAGACAGGTAGAAAGAAAGAGAGAGAGAGAGAGAGAGCGAAAGAGAGAGAGGGAGGGAGAGAGAGAGAGGGAGACATGCAGAAAGAAAAAAGATAAAGATATAGAGAAAGAGAGACAGAGAGAGACAGACAGACAGACAGACCTCGTGCACGTTTCTAACCTGGATCTCTGCAGCTCGAGCGCGGCGCTGCTCAGCGCTGGTCCTCCCTCCAGGCAGCCGTAGCTGCCGTAGCTCTGCGCGCTCGCGCTCTGTCTGTACGCCGCGGGCGCCGTTCCCTGAGTGAACGTGTGGAGCCTGCCTCTGCACGCGGGCGGCGCGCCGGAGAACGGAGACCCGAGCGCTTGCGCCGCAGCGGCGGACGAGGAGGCCCACGAGTCCCCGGCCGCGTCTGCGCGCGCTCCCGGAGCCCAGTGCGGCGCGGGCACGGCGGCGAGCGTGGGCGCGCGCTCGGTCCTCGCCTCCAGCAGGCTGTGATGTTCGCCGTTGTTCGCGTCGCCGTTCTCTCCGTCCTCGTCTCGAGCCACAGGCCGCCCGTCCAGAGAGATGTTGCTGAGGAAGGAGAGCGCAGCCTGGCGCCGCCGAGGGTCCGCGCGCCTGCGCGAGAGATCCACACCGGAGAGTTTCGACTGCAGCGCGGCCGCCATCGACGGATCCAGCCGTGCGGAGGGTGGAGGGGTGGGGGTGTTTGGGGGGGAATGTACCGGGAAACTGGCTTTCAACCGATCCGTGTCATCGCGAGCTGTTAGCGGAACGGGAGGCGGAAAATAATCGCCATGTCGCTGCGCGTGTGTGTGTTTTTAGCACGAGGCGCTTTAGCGTGGGTATGTGTGTGTGTGTGTGTGTGTGTGTGTATGTGTGTACGACACGGGGGGTGGGGATGGTGGGCTGGTGTCACGTGCGAGCAGCAGGAAAGAGAAACTGACCAATCAGCTTAAAGGAACAGGCTGTTTCTTTTTTTTCTTCTTTTTTATTTTTTCCTCTCGTTTTTTTTCTCTCGCTCCTCCCACTTCGGGCTTCACACCAGGCCGCGCCGTTCCTCACAAACACGCGCGTGAGAACTGATCACCAGCTTGGAAACACTAATCAAACTATTGCGGACACGACGGTCTGCGAGTCTGAGTTTAAACCCCTTCATGACCACGTCTGACATTTTAAAGGGCCAGTACACCAAATTTTCTTGGATTTTACTCAAAAAAGTCCACTTACAATGTTTGAGTGGATTTATGAACCAAACATAGCTGCAGTTCAGTTTATTAATTAAACAAGACTGAAACGGTCTTGTGTAAACGTTTGGACACCTACATTCAAATAATGTTCTCAGAGTTAACACCCTCTACAGAGAACACACTTCTGCACATTTTAATACACAGTTACTGCTTATTTGCTGAACTGAACAAAAAATGTCCACACCTGCAATTTTAAAGGGCCAATACACCACATTTTTCTTGGATTTTAACCCCCTCCCAAAAAAAGGCCACTTATACTGTTTGAGTGGGTTTGTTAACCAAACATAGGTGTAATTCATCTTTAAATGACAATTTTCCAATTTTTTTATTAATTGAATCAGCTGTTTCAAGACTGAATCGGTCTTGTGAAAAAGTTTGGGCACTTCCATTCACAAAATTTCCTCACAAGTTAAAATTTTTCACCGCTAACTTATATACTATAGCTTCAGCCTGTTTTGAACTCAGTGTCTTTGTGATGTCACAAAACTGATACATTCATATGTCTATATATAGGTGGATATCTATGTATGTATCTATCTATCGATCAATCTATATGTATTTATATATGTGAGTGTGTGTGTATATATATATATATATATATATATATATATATCTACACACATACATGTGTGTATATATATGTATATACACACACATCCATTCAGCCTACTGCAGTTTAGCTCCGCCCACTCTGCTTTATGAGTGAATGAGGCACAGGCCCTTATAATTAAACCAAAAGTTTGGGCACCTCCACTCAAATTACACGTTTTAAGTGTAAAAAAGTGAACACATCCTCTTCAGAGAACACACTTTTGCACATTTTATTGCACAATTACTGCTGATTTGCTAAATTTAACACAAAAAATTCATGTCCACATCTGACATTTTAAAGAGACAGTACAGAATGTTTGAGTGGGTTTATGAGCTGTAGTTCATCTTTACATGACCATTTTCCAGCTTTATTTCACCCCTTATAATTAAACCAGCTGTTTTAAGACTGAAACGGTCTTGTGCAAAAATTTGGGCACTTCCATTCAAATGCTCCAAGACTAAATAAGTGAACACTTCCTCTACAGAGAGCACACTTCTGCACATTTTAATGCACAATTACTGCTTATTTGCTGAATTTAGCACAAAAAGCATAAAATAAAACATGTGGCCTGTGCAAAAGTTGTTTCTTCTCTAATAGTTTCCAATATTTTCTGAAACTCAGCAATCAAATACAAATTGTGATCTAAAATCTGCAGAAAACAGCCGTATTTGAGTGTGTTCCCTGTGGAGGGTGTGTTATTTCCACTTCAATAAAATCAATAAAACATGTCATTTGATCAGGGGTGTTCAAACTTTTTCATTCATTCATATATGTTACAGAGCTTAGTTCTGATTGGCTGCCTTACACTGTGCCTCATTCAAAAAGCAGTCCTGGCTGAAACTCTCCTTGTAACGTCAGGGTAAATGGGCGGGGCTAAACTGCTGTAGGCCGAATAGCAAGCAAGCAAGGAAGCAAAGCAAAGTTTATTTATATAGTGCTTTTTACAACACGTGTTGTCACAAAGCAGCTTTGCAGAAAAATCAGCATTAAAGAAAGAAATCCAGGTCCAAGCCCCCATGAGCGTCACCAGTGGCGACAGTGGCACGGACAAACTCCCTAAGAGCAAGAGGAAGAAACCTTGAGAGGAACCAAGACTCAGAAGGGGAACCCATCTTCCTCTGCTCAACACCAGAGAGCAAAACATTGTTAGTATAAGGTATTGTAGTACACAATGGGGAAAGCAGGTGGAGCAATGGTTAAATTGATTAGTTTAGTTTAAGCAGCAGCAGCATCACTGGGAGGGTCAGTTCGTGAGGGTGAGGTTTGCACAGCGTTGTTCAGCATGAAGCTCAGTGGTGGTCAAGCCGGTCCAGAGTGGCACCCGATCAAGACAGGCGAGGAAGCAGCATCAGACGCACAGGATGGGCAGCTGTTCAACTCGGCAAAGAAAGGAAAAACACACAAAGAGTGTGAATTTGGAAGATGTAGATAATGTGTAGGATTTTATGGCATCACAAAAACAATTAATTTCACTTTTGGGCTTAGTTGCCACATATGGACTTTGGGGTGAACAATACATTTAGGTAACTCTAAAAATGTTTACATACTACATCAAACTTTATTTTGAAGAAAGTTTGGTTTGCCTTGGTACTGGCCCTTTAATTTTCATTTCCCCATGTGCTCTGTGAGATGGCCTCAGCACAAACATGAAGACATTCTTCAAATTGATCAAACACTGGCTCAAATAGTGAGGTTTTATAATTGAATTTATCCTAGTAAAGCTATTGTTTTTGGTCACGTGGGACTAACAATACAAAAGCCTAATTAGATTATGAATAAAATCATGACAATTGCATGCAATCAGAAAAAAAGTGCACCTGATCCACGCTGTTTGATGTTCATCAAAGGCATAACTATAAAATTTCACCCCTTTAGACCAATCAGACACAGTTCTGCGTCATTTTTCAGCCTCCGACTATATTTAGGCACGAAAGGGTTAAACTAGTTTACTGCAGGGTTCATTAGCAGAGTCAACATAACAGGCTAGACTTCACGGTTTAAATGTGGAAAAAGAACAAAAATGAAACAAATCAAAGCGCTGAAACTCTACATTTTTGCAACATAATGAATAAATCAAACGAGCTGTCTTATCGCTAACGATACATTATTAATATTAACGTTAAAAACGCCGAGTTTCCGTTTTATGACAAGATTTTTGAACAAACTGACGCAATGACGCTGCTAAAGGGCTTGGCCTGTGTAATCGCGCCATCTGGTGGTCAAACATATTTAGTACAGATTCGGTAGTTTAAAGGGGCATATCATGGAAAAACTAAATTTCCTCACATTTTTATTTGAGTTAAATTTTTATCGCTAAATTTTCAAAACCACTTACTGTCCAGTCTATATAATCGATATATGGAAACTACAGATTCAGTCTGTTTTGAACTCATTGTCTTTGTGTCTGATACATTTCTATGTCTATATACACCGATCAGGCATAACATTATGACCACCTCCTTGTTTCTGTGCTCATTGTCCATTTTATCAGCTCCACTTACTATACGGGTGCACTTTGTAGTTCTACAGTTACAGACTGTAGTCCGTCTGTTTCTCTGCATACTTTGTTAGCCCCCTTTTACCCTGTTCTTCAGTGGTCAGGACCCCCATGGACCCTCACAGAGCAGGTACTATTTGGGTGGTGGATCATTCTCAGCACTGCAGTGACACTGACGTGGTGGTTGTGTGTTAGTGTGTGTTGTGCTGGTCTGAGTGGATCAGACACAGCAGTGCTGCTGGAGTTTTTAAACACCTCAGTGTCACTGCTGGACTGAGAATAGTCCACCAACCAAAAATATCCAGCCAACGGCGTTCTGTGGGCAGCGTCCTGTGACCACTGATGAAGGACTAGAGGATGACCAACACAAACTGTGCAGCAGCAGATGAGCTGTCGTCTCTGACCATCTACAAGGCGGACTGACAAGGTAGGAGTGTCTAATAGAGTGGACAGTGAGTGGACACTGTGTTTAAAAACTCCAGCAGCACTGTAGGTGGATCTATCTATCCATCTGTCTATCTATAAATAGCCTATAAAAAGCCTGCTGCAGTTTAGCTCCGCTCATTCATGCTGATGTTATAAGGAGTGCTCCAGTCTGCATTATGAGCGAATGAGGCACAGTACAGGACAGCAATTAGAACAAGGGTAATTTACATATATTGATCTTAAAGAAAAAGCTCTTTTAAATCTAATCGATAGCATGAGGTTTAAAAATTGTCATGTAAATGTGAATTAAGTCTATTTTTGTTAAATAAACCAAGGCAGATGTCATAAGTGGACCTCAGGAGATAAAATTAGAAATGAGACAAAAAAATTTGTAAGATATGGGCCCTTTAAAGAGAATATACTCTAAAGACCATTCCAGTGCTGTAGGATTTCATGATTTAAGAACCTCCGAAGATATTTATTTCCCATGGTCACCTTGCACTCAGTGTTTTTGGACTAAAGACTGATATTTAAAGTGGCATTACATTCATCGTCCCCTGGGTGGCAGTAAAACCATAAAGCTTTGCTTTGCATTAGGCCATTTTTTGCATTAAGTGGTAGAGATGCAGGTGTTCAAATATAGGCCTACATTTAAAACATCCAGACAGCGCTTGCTGTGTGGTCAGAAGCCTGCTGTAGACCAATAGAAGTGACTTGAACAAAGCACAAGATGTAAAATACTATAAAAAAACAAGTTTTTTTTGGATAGACGCTCACAACTGACTTGTTTTTACCTTTGCTTTATTTCAATCAAAACATTTATTTCATTTGAATAAAATGAAATGTATTAAACATCTAGTTACCGCATGAGGTACATTTTTTAGGTTGGATGACAAAACATTTTTTACAGGCCTACAAGTAGAAGGAATTGTAGTGCTGTATTGACGTATATCCACCTATTCAGTTTACAGCAGATTAGCCTGTATATTCACTGTGATATTCATGCTGAGTGTTTCATCCCAGACTGCTGTATGAATGAAACACAATACAGGACAGCCAATCAGAACAGAGATTATATACCTCTGAAGTTGTGCCTCATTCTGTA